CAACTCTCAGGTTTATTGCACGGGGAGCACAGTGGGTAGTGGAGACCTGAATAAAAACGACCATTATCTTTTCATGATATTCTTATTACAATGCATAAATCGATGAACTAATCTAAATAACCTCAAAAGTAACGCTAATTATGTCTCGCATAAAAGAAATTGCACGGCTATCGGGAGCCTCGGTTGATGGCTCAGACGGAACCTCGCCATCCTGCCGAAGTTCCCCTGTGTACTCGTCATAGTCGCTAGGTTCGTTGGCACCTATCGCTATATTTCGGAGTACACAGCAGGCTACCACTATTTCAGCTGCTTTACTTGGGGAGTACCTTCAACAGAACAGATTACAGAACAGATTGGTCAGCTATAAGGAGCGACTAAGCAGCCAATGTCACCTGCACTCCCCATGCAAAATATGGAACTGTCGTTTGAGAACTCCAAAAGCCTGCTCGACGCGAGTGCGCGCGGAGCATACAGCTCGGTTATACCCTTCCTCTGTAGAGAACAACTTGTGACAAAAAATAGTTACATTAACAAATAATGAATACCTTGCAGGTTTCTCGGACTGTCTAGTGGCTTGAGCAGAAACGTCTCTGATGCGTATGCCGAATCCCCCAAGAGAACTCCTTCCAGCTCTCCCTTCTTCAACTGGTCGTATAAAATTGACGTTTTGAATACACGTGAGTCGTGTGCTGATCCGGGCCATTTCGAGCATACCCATCTAATTCTCATATCGTAATCGACCACCTCGCCAACGTTAAGACTGTGGTAACCCTTTCGACACACAAAGTCCTCTTCTCCTTCGGTAGGTCCGCTGTATTCGGCAGTGAGTGCCGTCGATGACACCAGTCAACTCCCGGAAGGCCGAATTTGGTGTAAAACTTGCGTCTTATTTCGATCTTCTCTCCTTCTCGCGGCCAGAATATGAACTGGCCTGCCCTTCTATTCAATGCTCGCACAAATGCAAACAAAGCGTCTCCCACAGTGGTTTGGTGACATCCTGCGATCCTTGCCGCGTCGCTCTGCATTACGTTTCTGCCGAAGCAAGTGTATGCTTATGGAAACTTGATCTGCCACCGAAAGATCAACCCCTCTCCCTTGCTGCCGTTGCAGATCGTCCTGCACCATTCTCGCAAATTCTCCAGGAAAATGGGACCGAGGAAAAGCGATAATCTTTTCTGAACTCCACGTCGCTCAAATAATCGTAGGGCGCGTTCGATCTCGGAATGTGCGATGCACAGAAGCCTTTGCATACCTCTCAACCAATTCAAGGCTATCAAGAAGCTCCATCCTATCTGAAAATATCCTAGCAGCTTGTGTTATATGCAATATGCGGTGAAATCCCAGTTCGGTGGGGGGCAGTCACAATATCTCAGCTATTTATCCTACCAAAGTGTTCAACTAATCGAGAGCGAAGTTGCGGAAAGGCCCTCATATCTTATCAACATTCAGAGCACAGGCTCTGTGTGTGCGATTAGATGAGGATACCACTCGGATAGTGCAGAAAAGTGACCTAGAACTAGGACCTTTTGAGTTAAAACAAGCACCAACTAATGCAAATTCGGTATCGATTGGAGCAATCGTAGCGATTGTAGGCCACCGCCCTAACGAGAGATATGCTGATAACGTTTAATAAGATATGAGTGCCTTTCCTTCAACTCTGCTGTGATTAAAGGGCACTGTTTCACCCAACTCGGCTCCAATGGTCCTCTGGCAACCACTCAGATTGCGGGCGTTCCTGTCCTTGTCCTTGGAGGTGGGGGAGAAGCAGACATCACAAGAGGGAATTGTAGGTGACACTAGAACGAAGCCCAGAGAGGGGATAATTGCAAGAAAGAACATATATTGCTCGGCGCTCATGTCCTTGGGAGGGGGGACATCACAGAAGGGCCGATAAGTGACACTAGGACTAAGCCAAGGACAGGGGAGGAAAATCAATTAGATAGTCCCAAGCACAATAATTGACTCACCAACTTGAATGCCCCCACCCCACAAGGACATGAGCACCTATTGCTCATATCCTTCACCAGAATCAATTTTCCAGCCTAAGGCTTAGTCTAAATGGTCTGCTGACTCGAATGTCTCCTCCCCGGGTGGGTTGAAAGTGGTACGATCTACCACCCTACCGTACCACCTTTGACTGACCCCCCCCCGGGTGGGTGAAAGTGGTACGATTTCTGTTTCTTCGCACCTAATTAAGGGATGCCTCGCTCCGAGGTGCGAAGCAGCCCTAATTGAGTGCGATAATTTAGAGGTCATGATGCCACCTCCACATCTCTATTGATTAAATAAAAGAAATTTCACTGAAAAAAACAATCAGGTTAAATATTCATGTATTATCTGAGGGTAAAAGTGGTAGGAAAAGTTCCTTCTAAAGTGTTCATTGCTTCGAAAAATCGCACCGTTTGCCTTTTTTTGCTTGCACGAGTTTTTTGGCTTTGTAATGGTTGTAATGGTAAAATTAATATAATGGTTTTTCTTTTTTAATTGAACTGCTATGACCTTTCTCAGGATTAATTTTTTGCGCTTCTTTACCCCTGTGAAGAATACAAGGTAAGAGCTTCCTAATGTGTGTTTGAACTCACTTCAAAATCAATGGACTCACGAAAGAACCCAGTTGATCCGTTTTGGGAGATTTACGGTCCGATTTTTGGCCACGCGCTGGTTTTGTTTTAGTTCTGAACTGTTACCAGTTTCTTCAGATTCAAATTTTTGCAGAGCTTTTCAAGGAATACTTGAACTCATTTCAAAATGGAGCGGGTCGAAACGTATTCAAAATACCAGTTCGCTTTTCCTTTTTCGGTTTATTCCTCTGAAAACGCGGGTCATCAGGCTTCACATGGTTGGAACTCTCTTTACATTCGCCAAAGTGCTTACTGTTTCCCCAACATGGGCATGTTTCAAAATCATCGGGTTTCCTGTAGCGCAATATTTGCCTTGAGACAATACACATATTGACAAATGAGCCGGAACCGCTTCATCTCTGGCATGCGCCACGTACGTATCGGTTAATAGTGGAGAACCATCGAAAAACTGTATCACTTACCTATTACACTATCGCGGACGTTTTGATACTACTCGTTAAGGACACTAATCGTGAATCCATGCTCAGAATTCCGAGTTACCCCATCTATGTAACATTTCGTCATTTTTATTGGGATTTCAGCCAGTCACGTTTCCTCACACTTTTAGGACTATTACAGCGTGAGAAAAAAGAGCAAAAAATTGTGAACACATACAGAAGTTTTAGTCCTTTTTAAGAAGGAAACAATATGGAGGGTTTGAATTCTTCCTCCCACGTCTATGCTCAGATAATAAAACATATGAATATTTAACCCTGATCATTTCTTCCAATGAAGTTGCTTTTACTCAATCAATACGGATGTGGAGGTGGCATCATGACCTCTGAGTTATCCCACTCATTTAGGGGCTGCTTCGCACCTCGGAACGAGGCATCCTTAATTAGGTGCGAAAAAAACAGGAATCGTACCACCTTTGACTGACCCCCCTCCCCATAACGACATGAGGGCCATGACACAGTACATTTAGTATCTAGCAAAAACGACAGAAATAGAAAAAGTAATGTTAACAGTGCTCCCCAAGTGCATTTGTGTCACTGGTCAACCTTTGCTGCTAATGCTGTCATTGC